CTGCGCATTACAACAGAGCGCCTATCCCATCCCAGTAGTGCAGGATCTCATACACTCACTGGGGGGAGGCAAGGTTTTTGCGAAACTCGGCCTGGCGCAAGCATATCAACAACTGCCGGTCGACGCAGAAACCGCCAAGGCGCAAACCATAGTAACCCACCGGGGGGCTTTCCGCTGTAAGAGACTCCAGTTTGGAGTCAGTGTGGCACCAGGAATATTCCAGAGCCTCATGGAGAGACTCCTGCAAGGAATCAAGGGGGTGGTGCCCTACTTCGACGACGTACTGGTGTCGGCAGCCAACCAAAAAGAACTGGACGGTCGTTTGAGGGAGGTCCTAACAAAATTCAAAAATGCGGGGCTGAAGGTTAAAAAGGAAAAATGCCAATTACATACCAAGAGGGTTGATTTCCTAGGGTACCTGTTAGATCGGCACGGAATTCACCCAACCGAAAAAAAAATCAGAGCAATCAAGGAAGCCCCCAGGCCGAAGAATAAAACGGAACTACAGGCATTTCTAGGGCTGCTTAATTTCTATAATGTTTTCCTGCCACAGAAGGCGACCGCCTTTGCATAGGCTTTTGGACAAGGCGGCCCCGTGGACTTGGGGGAAATGCGAGGAGGCCGCCTTCAACAAAACCAAGGACCTACTCACCTCGGATGCTGTCCTCATCCAATACAACGAGACCCTACCGCTAGCTGTCACATGCGACGCATCACCCTTCGACGTCGGCGCCGTCCTCAGCCACACTCTCACCGAGGGAAAAGAAGCACCCATCGCCTTTTTCTCAAGGACCCTCACCAAACCGGAAAGAAACTACAGCCAGCTGGACAAGGAGGCTCTGGCTATCGTTGCCGCCGTAAAAAGATTCCGCGAATACATCTACGGCCGGACGTTCACCATCGTCACCGACCACAAGCCGCTGCTGGGAATCCTGGCAGGAAACAGGGCATTCTATCTCCAAGAATGACAAGGTGGTCCGAATTCCTTGCTGCCTACAGTTACCGGCTCACACACCAACCCGGTAAGACAATCACCCACGCAGACGCCCTGAGCCGCACGCCGCTACCTGACTTGGACACCGACCCAGCACCCACGACGACCACCCTTAGCATAGAGACTCTGCCCGCTCTACCCGTAACCGCGTCAGACATTGCCCGCGAAACTAATAAAGACAAACGTCTGGCGCGAGTGTTACATTGGGTAGAGAAGGGGTGGCCCGAAAAAGACGTCGACGAAACATTCAGGACATTCCGGAATCGGCAAACAGAACTGTCATTACAAAAAGGTTGTTTACTGTGGGGGGATAGGGTTGTCATTCCGGAAAAATTACAGGGAAAGGTATTGGAATTGCTGCATGAGGGACACCCAGGCATCGTGCGGACTAAAGCCTTGGCCAGAAGCTACGCATGGTGGCCAGGGATAGACAAACGGATCGAGGCTTGGGTGGCAGCATGCAACCGATGCCAGGAAACCAGGCCTAGCCCCCCTGCCGCCCCAATCCTGGAATGGGAAACCCCCAGGGGACCATAGTCCAGGATTCACATAGACTTTGCCGGACCCACGAAAGGGCACACCTTCCTCATTACGGTAGATGCTTACTCCAACTGGTTGGAGGTAAGCAACATGAAAACTACCACCACGGAGGCCGTTACCAAAGAACTCAGCAAGCTGTTCGCAACCCACGGCCTCCCAGACGTCATCGTATCCGACAACGGGCCCCAATTTACCTCGCTAGAATTCAAAAAATTCCTAGCGGAGCGGGGGATACGACACGCATTGACAGCGCTGGCACATCCGGCGGCGAACGGGAGGGCGGAACGGATGGTTCAATTTACAAAAAAAACAATCCAGAAAATAGAAAACGGGGAAATCCAAGAAAAAATAAATAAAATGCTTTTGATACAACATATAACCCCGAACACAACAACTAACAAAAGCCCGGCAGAACTATTAATGGGGAGGAAATTAAGGTCCCCATTAGACAGACTGCACCCCACATACAACCCAGAAAAACCCCCAAACTCCTCAAGCAAAGACCGAACTTTTAAACCAGGTGACACAGTATACGCAAGGAACCTTACCGGGGACCCACTTTGGATACCAGCAACCATAACCCAAGTGACAGGTCCCCGCTCGTACCGTTTACAGACAACTGACGGACGAGCATGGAAACGACACATCAACCAATTAAGGTCAAGAACAACCACGGGAAACACAACCGACACGCAAACAGACACAGACACATACCCAGAAAAAGAAGGGGACCCCCCCAACACAAACCAAGAGGGGAGGGAAGACCCCAAGAACCAACCCACACCAGAAAGAAACTGGGAATACTCACCAACAAGCAGCCAACTCGAAGCCTCACCAGGAAGAAGCAGCCAGGCCAGCTCAACCAGCCCAGAAAGACCAGGCGGGAGCGGCAACAACCGCAGCTCAACCAGCCCGGGTAGACCAGGAGGGAGCTGCGACGAAAGGCCCGGCCCACCCTTCCAGACGGTTCCATCGACGAGGCAGAGAGCAACACAGAACCCGACCGAACCGGCCGGGAGCCAAGCACCAACTAACCTGCGCAGGTCAAGTAGACAAGTGCGAAGCCCCGCCTACTTACGGGACTACGTTACGTAGGACCATACCAAGAGGGGAGGGGTGTTCTGTACAGTCATTTACATACTTGTAAACGCCACGCGGTGATTGGTCAAGACGCACGGCGAGCTGATTGGCCGAGCGAGCCGCACTGATTGGCCCGCCGCGAATCTCCCACGATTGGTGGAAACTAATCGCGGGAGATTCAAAGCGGTGCCATTGGCCGCGGCCGCCGCAGCCAAGGAATAAAAGCCGCCGCTTTTACCTTTTCGAGCCGAGCCGATTTCGGAGCAAATAAAGAGCTGAAACTAAGTCACTGGCTCCGAGTCTCTTTCCGCGACGGACACAACAGAAGTGATAATTGTGAAACCCTGGGTGTAGAAATTGGTTGTGTCATGTCATGTATTTATGATGTTATATGATATATATGTTGTGTGTTGTATATTTATTATTTGCTGTATGTTATATGTTATATGGTAATATTACTTGTCCCATCTAGAGATCTGGATTAAGACAGTAAGATAGCTAGATAGCTAGATAGCTAGATAGCTAGGTAGATAGATAGATAGATAGATAGATAGATAGATAGATAGATAGATAGATAGATAGATAGATAGAATTCTTTATTGGCCAAGTGTGATTGGACACACAAGGAATTTGTCTTGGTGCAAATACTCTTGGTGTACATAAAAGAAAGGATACATTCATCTAGAGCAGGGGTGGGCAAACTACGGCCCGCGGGCCACATCCGGCCCGTTGGTCTGTCCAATCCGGCCCGCCCCTGAAAAAAAATAGCTGGGCGTGGCATATTGCCCTGCGCCGCGTGGCCCCCAAAGCTGCAAAACAGTGCGGAGCGCTCTCGGGGTAGGAAAGAAAAGAAGAACTTTGCAAAGGCCTCAGCTGGGAGTTCGAAATCACCTTCGAGTGCGACCTCTCCGAAGGTGAGTCCCCGCCGATCCCCCTTTTTTTTCCGGGGCTTCCAGGCTTAAACTTTGCAAAGGCAAAGTTTGCAAGCGGGAGCATCTTCTGGCCGAGGAGCGGGAAGGGTTCTGCCCGGCGGGCGGGCGGGCTGCTTGGAGCGGGCTGCTTGGAGCCACCTAAAGCTAGGCCGCTGCTGGTGGAGCCTTGCCTTGCCTTGGTGCCCCGTTTCCCGGCTCGGCGGTCCTGCTCGGGCGGCACTTTAAAAGCCTGCTCCCAGCACCCGAGCAACTTCCCAGCAACTTTCGGCTTCCTTTTAACTCGCGGGCGCTCGCGCCTGGCCCCGAGCTGCGCGGCGGAGGGGAAGCCCGGAGCGCCACCAGGTTGCCTCCTCCAAGCAGCCCGCCCGCCCACCGGGCTTCCCCTCCACTGAGCGGCTTGGGGCCAGGCGCGAGCGCCCGCGAGGAAAAATGAAGCCGAAAGTTGCTGGGAAGTTGCTCGGGTTTCCGGGGCTTCCAGGCTTAAACTTTGCACAGGCAAAGTTTGCAGGCGGGAGCATCTTCCCGCCAAGGAGAGGGAAGGGTTCCGCCCGGCGGGCGGGCGGGCTGCTTGGAGGAGGCGACCCGGTGGTGCTCCGGCAGCAGCAACAGGCAGTTCCGCCCGGGCTCCACTCAGGTGTCCAGCTGGGGCTGTCAGGAGTTGCTACCGCCGGCGCAGCTCCACGCGGCTCCAGTCCCGCGTTGCCTTGGGAAGGAAAAGGCAAAACCAGGAGCCGCTGAGCCTGAGCCTCCGGTGCCGCTGCTGCCGTTGCAAAGCACCGCCGCGGCTCTTCCTTTTTGCCTTTCCCTTCCCGAGGCAACGCGGGACTGGAGCCGCGCGGAGCCGCGCCGGCGGTAGCAACTCCTGACTCAGGGGGCCTCCGATTAATAGTAATAGTAGTGCAAGCTTTGTAAATAGTTGGACAGTGTTGAGGGAATTATTTGTTTAGCAGAGTGATGGCATTCAGGGAAAATCTGTCCTTGTGTTTAGTTGTTCTGGTGTGAAGTGCTCTATAACGTCATTTTGAGGGTAGGAATTGAAACAGTTTATGTCTGGGATATGAGGGGTCTGTAAATATTTTCACAGCCCTTTTTTTGACTCATGAGATATATATGTTCTCAGTTGAAGACAGGTTGGTAGTAATTGTTTTTTCTGCAGTCCTAATTATCTTCTGAAGTCTGTGTCTGTCCTGTTGGGTTGCAAAACCAAGTGCATTGAGTCAATAAATGAATATGCTATATACTACCTATTCAATGTAGTGTTTCAGTATCATTCCTGAGAAAGCTTTTCAATTTATATGAAATCCAGACTCATATACAATACTAATTATCTGATATTTTAATTGTCTTTCACAAATAATATGCTATTAAAATATCCCATGAACAATACCAGACTTAAAACCCTGAATCTTTAGATTTCTTTCCTCTGTTTCAGTATGATATCTTTTATACTCCAGCAGTTACCAACAAATTGGTTCCACTTCCTGCTACAACAAAGATATCTGTCACTGATGGACATCCAGTGACAACAATGGGTAACATATCTTTTACTTCAACAACTCCTCATTTTCATATTACTTTCTTCTCATACTCATATGTATCCATCCATTATTTTTACTGTTGTTGTACCATATTTACATATGTTTTACCCACATATGCAATTTATTTATCATTAACATTTTAATTAGTTATTTAAATACTGTGTATTCCTTATATAATGATTAAAAGAGGTATTTGATTCCCTAAATTTTATAAACTATGAATCTAAACTGTTGCATTCTATTGAATTGTACTAAATCTGGGTAAATTTGTGAGCCTCTAATATAAGAATATCAAATGTGATATGAGTATGTGTAGGATGAAAGTAATAGAGTCCATGATTCCATGTCTGACAGAATTAGGCATATGCTTAACCGATTGGATAAGTAGACTTAGTAAAGTAATAGCATAATGTGCACTTGACTCAATATGTTGTAATTTTTGCCCCAATTGGGCCATCATTGCATTGAAACCAGTTACACAACTTCAATTGAGAAAGGGATAATTGAAATCAGATTACTAGAAAAAAGTTCAATATATTACAAGATAAAACTTTACAATTAATCTATGAATAATTTCATTAGTTATTTCTAATTAGTATTTAAATTCCAATAATTACTATAATTTGATCAACATTTTTAAAAATATTTTCAAATATTTTCAAAAACTCCACCAACCACATCTGGAAAATCATAATTTAATAGTTCCAAAATAACCTGCTAGATTATTTTTATTTTCATAAATAAGTATTTACTCTTAATCCCAGTGTAGAAAAATGTTTCAGAATACAAAACTTTCTTAACTAGGGTAGAATGTTGCAAATAAATTAAGTAACTCAACCGATTGTTTTTTAAAAAATAACTAATAAATTTCTAAAAGATTGAGACTATGTTCTCAATAAAGTACAGTCCAATATTTGAAAATGATTATATTAAGTCACATAAACAAAAAATGTTGAGAGGAAAAGTTTTGCACTTCACCTGATAAACATTACCCTAAAACTTTTGTGTTATCAGTGAGACATACTTTTGCAGTCAAAATTCTCTACCCTTTGCTGAATTCAACTTAATTTTAAGTCAAGGGTCTTCAAACTTGGCAAGTTTAAGACTTGTGGACTTCAACTCTCAGAACTCTTGAGGTAACATGGAGGAGGAATTCTGGGAGTTGAAGTCCACAAGTTAAAGCTGTCTAGTTTGGAGACCCCTGCTCTAAGTGATACATTTTTAAAAACATGTATTTCATGTCACTAACATTTCAAGACAAATTTGAGCTTTGAGAATACAGTATTATTTTTCAATATGCTTTTACCATAGCAGATAATTGTTTTCCTAAACTATTCATAACATCAGAATCTCACTTATTAAACTTGGTAATTATGTCTTTAGATATCTCATAAAACCTTGGGTGATTTTATTGTACAAAGTACATTAATAGTAGCTATTAATGTGAGCATTTCTGGAATTCAAAATCTAGAAATCTGAAGCAATTTTTCCTTGATACACACATAGCTAATCATAACTATAATATGCAGAATTATAAAAGTAGGAAAATAAGTAAACAATTTCCATTTTTAGAAAGACTAGATTATTTGTCCTTTATATGAAAATGGAATCAATGTTTTATAGGATTTCCTTACATATCACAATTAAATGATAAAGTTGTGGTAATCACTCTTACTACAAAAAAATAATAATATGCAAAATAGAGGGATTTACAGGATCAACTTATAATTGATCATTTAGCTCATTTTTCACCTATCTATTCTTTTAAATTTATAACATGCCATCAATACTTTTCTCTTTTATATTGCTTTTCAACTCAATTCCCCTGGGGTTTATTTTTGTTTTGTTTGTTCATGAAAATTCTTCTATGCAATATTTTAGTTATAAATTATTGCTATTATAATATTTTAAGTCTGTTTTCCTGTTGTAGCAAGAATTAATTCTTGAGTGCATCCTACTTTAAGCTTCTTATTAACCAAGCCCTATTTCATAAAAATCTAAAGAACCTGATTTTACAATGCCAGAACCAGCAGACAGGAATCCTGGCAGACTGACTTTTTAAATATTGTATTTTTATATATCTCTTAAAATATTCTTTTGAACTTGAATTGGATATATAGTTTCAAAGACCCCAATATGAGATTCAGGCTTCATTAAAATTTTATAAAATTCTGAAAAACCATTAATGAAATACAGTGACAGGATTTTTTGCTTATTTTCAGCCTCATTCAGATTTTTGAAGATTGGATCTTATGCAACCTATTGCAAAAGAAATATTTTAGGCAATACATCTTAATAAATAATAACTATGATCACTTTCAATAACATAAAGCACATTATCTAGGTTTGAGAGATTGGATGTAAATATACCATTCAATCCTAGTATACTTTTTTTTTTTTAAAGTTTGCACTAAGGAAGAAAGTTCCCTTCTAATACCCATACCGAAACTCAAATTTTCTGTGCATGGTAATATGTTTTTCAATGTTTCCTGAAATTTTATGTCATGTGGTAATTAGTTATGAATACATTAATGTGGCCATTAATGTATGAATATCTGGAATGCATATAAATCTGAATCAAGTTCTCTTTGACTTATATCTAGCAATAAAACACAAGTAAGACAATATTTAAACAAGCAAACTTGACTTAAAAGAGAAAGGTGAATGCAAATGAAGTTAATACAATTAATTACAATGTCAGAATAAATTGTGAACTTCAAATTTGAGAGCCAATGCAGGAAAATTTGTTTATAAATTGACACAATATAAACACATTAGACATCAAAAAATAATTGTCCTCAGCAATCTCCGAAGTTAAACAAATCCATTGTCCTTGAAATAATAATATGTAGCTCATACTAAACCAGGTCAAACTTGCGACCCGCGGGCTGGATGTGCTGGTCATGCCCACCCCCAGTTTAACAAAGGGGGGAAAGTCGTGATACATCTTGATGACAATGTGAAATCACAAGTTTGACACCCATGTGTTTAACAATTCAAATATCTCTTCTTGAAATTATATTCAATACTATTCTTTCACTTAACTGTCTTTTTCTTTCCGGAGAATATTTCAGGAGTCAATTCCCCTACAGGTTCAAACATTGGTTATTTAAGAAATACTTTGAATATTAATATGTTCCCACCGAATTGAAAGTCCATCCTTTCAAGATACTGTATTAATTCTCAACTGGATTTCTTTTCAGCTTCAAAAGAAATAAACCCAGTTCCATCAAAGTCTAAAGAATTCGACTATACCAAGCCAGAAGAACCAGACAGGAAATTTGGTATAATGATTTTTAAATATTTCTTTCTGCTACTTTACAAGATAACTATTTGAATATGTCTCCTGTGTTCTTATACTATATGAATATGAAATCCATATTTTGGGGTTGTTTACTTTTTTGCAGTTTCAACTGACGATGATAATTATCTTCCTAACCTCTTGACTACGCCAGAATTTCCAATTACCAAACCTGGTAATTATATGTTTCGATATTTGATAAAATCTTGCACATTGTGATTGATGGTTAGATAATGCATTCTTCAAAGCTACTTAGAAACAAGTAGATTCAAGGCTTAAAGAAACTTTGACAGATATGTTTGTTGATCATATGCAAAGCTTTACAACATACAACCACAATATTGGAAGAATCCAACAATTAAAAAAATTCTTGTAGTTATTTTTCATGGGATTTCACACATAGGTACACATCACTCTCTCTGAATTTTTTATTCTTCAGTTCAAAACACTTCCAAATATATGATTACTATCAGGTGGTATTTTGAATCTTGTACTTCCCTTTCAAATGTAGATTAATTTTAGACAGAACTTCCTTTCAACTTATTTTAAACAAGCTTGCTTCTGCAAAAGTTTAAACAACCTGATTACATCATGCCAGGAATACCAGACACTTCTTTCTATTTCTGGAATTTATCTAATGTATTCCTTTCTGAAATGAACATGAATTCCAGGCTTCCTTGAAATTATAAAATGCATAAATTCATCAATCATAAGTGTTGTACAAAACTGAGTAAAAAGGAATAGAAGTACACATTCAAATCTGAAGACATCACACCAAGCACAACAAAATTTCTTTAATGTCCTTTATTGGAGATTAAAATTAACATAAGACAATATATTATTTCATAATAAAACCATGCATAATGATGCCTTTTAAGAAACATGGGGTACATAAGTGTAACCATGACCTTCAATATGGACACTGTAAATTTATTTTGGGATTGTTTGCTTTTTTTCAGTTTCAGCTAAAGATAATTATCTCCCTAAAGTTTTCATCACATCAGAACCACCAATCACCAAACCTGGTAATAATGGCTTCTCATATGTTTGATAAAATTGAATATAGTTTGTTTGTGCCTGAGAATGTATAGTAAACACAAATGCAAGTAAACACAAAGAGTTGTTGCACAGGCTGGAACTTTAAAAGACATACCTGTGGATGATATGTAGAGCTTCAATACACAGATGCATAGTATTACGAGACCATCCTTATTGTATAGTGTTATTTTTGATATTGATTTTATCAAGGTATAACTCCCATTACCCTGGGAGAATACTGACTTCCTCAGTTCAAAATTCTATCATACGATTAGAATAACATCGTATATTGAATCTTGTACTTCGCTGTTAAATGTAGATTAATTTTAAAGGCATAAGGACCCCGACTACATCATGAATGAAGACATCAAACATGGTAGAGTGACTAATTTAACATGCTTCTCTCTACCTCAAAAATGTATCTAATATATATCTTTCTGAAATGAACATGAACTCCAGACTTCCTAAATATACTGTATTCAAACCAGAAGACACAGAACTGTAAAAACCAAAAATTTCCAAGATCCCTTTACATGAAAGATGAAAATTCTTCCAAGTCAGTATATTTCTCTATAGTACCTGATCATTCCATTTTAAGATAAAATAACTCTTAGGCTTACATAGGTGAAACCATGTCCATATGTACAATGTGAACTTATTTGGGGGTTCTTTGCTTTTTTCTAGTTTTAACTGAGGACGATAATTATCTTCCTAAAGTCTTGAGCACGCCAGATCTTCCAGTTACCAAATCTGGTAATTATCTGTTATCATATGGTTGATAAAAATGTGTACAGTGTGATTATGGGAAGATCGTGCACTTGGTGGCTACTTAGAAGCAAAGAGTTCCTGATTAAACATAACTTCGAAAGACTTGCCTGAAGATAATATGCAGACCATTAGAAATGCATAGTATTGGGAGGACATTCACTTTTTTCAAGCTACTTTAAATCTTTATTTTCCCAAGGTTAAATTTTGTTACCCTTTGAGAATTCTTTCTTCTTCACCTCAAAATCCTTTCAAAAGTAACATGGTATTTTGAATCCTGTATTTTGCTGTCAAATGTAGATTAATTTTGGACTGGACTTCCTTTCAGATTCTTATAAAACAAGCCGGGTTCCGCCAAAGTATAAAGAGACCGACTACATCATGCCCATAGTACCAGATGTGAAACATGGTAGAGTGACTTTTTTTTAACATCCTTCTTTATACCTCTAGAACTTATCCAGTATATTCATTTCTGAAAGAATCATGAACTCCAGACTTCCTAAATA